CACCCACACCCCACCAAAAAAAAAAAAAAAAAAAAAAAAAAAGAGCAAAAAGTCAAGCGGGGAGAGCGGGCGCTGCTCGACACGGGCTCGACACCTCGTCGGCCCCACAGGCGCCTCCAGCTCCGCGGTCCTCCGCGCTCGGGGCCGCGGCGCCCCGTCCCTTTTGGGAGGAAGTGCGCTAAAATGTAGGAAAATATCAGCGGAGCGCCAAGGAGATGACTGGATTTGGGAGTGATTCTTTTTCCTTTTTCTTTCTTTCTTACTTTTTCTTTTTTTTTTTTTTTTTTTAATAGATTCATTGTGCTTTGGAGCGCTCGGGCATTGAGAATGCCAAGCCTTTTCTTACTAAACTGACTGCCGCCTTTCATATCCAGATCACTGCCGACTCTGAAATTCCATCTGTGAGAAAATCCCGGAGGCCGCTGTGCTGCGGGAAGGTGTTTTACACTTCCAAGGTGAGGAGAGAGCTCGCGAGGCGACACAAACCTCGGCTCCCGTGCAAAACCCGCGCACGCAGAAAAACATTTTTCCATCTCGAAAATATCTAAGCGGAAAGCCCCTTTATTTAGGAGAGCCGATCCCGAATGTAACGAGGGTTTTTAGTCTGAAACGGTTTCCTAATTGCTCAAAAGGCAAGCACGTATAAGTAATTTGTTAAACTTATTGGATTGCAATAATCCACTATCAGGTTAGCTAAGAATGGATCTGTCAAGTGTGTTTCCCAGTCTAAGCTCTTTCTTTCAAACCAATCTGGTATAATAATTAGCAGACAAAGGGACCGAAATATGTAAGCAAATACCTAAAGCTCTGCATAAATAAACACGTTAATCAATAGCCAGATAGCCAACACTTGTCTGATTGATGAAGAGATAATCGATATTGCTGTTGTAACCTGCAGCCAGGGAGACCTATATTTAATTATGAGCACTTTTACCTTCGCCGATTTAATAATAAAAATAGAACTAACAATTCCTACGGCTCCACCTGAATGCACATCGTCCCGGTGACAGGGCTAGAGGTAATTTTGTTTCCCCGAGAAACAAGCAACTTTGCTCCATAAACAAGCAATCGTGGAAAGGAACAAGTAGTGCTGCCTTTTCAGACAAAAGATAACAAAAACAACAACAACAACAAAAGAAATAAATTTATGCGTATGCGTATATATTTAAAGAGAGAATACATATATAGGCTAAAAGATGCATTGATTATTTTATTGTTATTATTATTATTATTATTTCCGTACTTCACGTGTGTTTTCTCACAGGCTCATGCGAGTGTCTACAAGACACTCTAGCAAGAGCCCCCTCGCCGTTCAACACCACCGTGGCACTCACGTCCCAGAGCTCTCGCCATCGGAAGGGCAGTTCACAAAGCTGAAGGGAGCTTTACTTCTCACTAGAGCGTTGGAGAGTCAGCTCTGAGCCTCGGCGTGTCAAAAATATGAGCACTTGTGTGATGCTTTTGACCATATACCTGCAAGAGAAGTCTGGTCGGAGCCCTCCTCCTCCACCTCCTTTTAGAAATAGGGTTGTGTGGGGGTGCGCTTGTGTTTGTGTGTGTATGTGCTGAGGGAAAAGCAACTGTCTCACAACATCCCTGGGATTTTTGCCTCAAAAGAACAGTCTGGGGACTGGTGAATAATCCCCACATTAAATTCTAAAAAGTATTACAGCCTTCTGGGAAGAGCAGTGCTTTAGAACAGGGTTTTTTGCTTATTTATATGAGAACCCAGCATTTCATTTCATTTAAAGGCTGTCCTCCCTAGCTGACAAACAATCTCGTTTTTTTTTTCACTCGATAGCCAGACTTCGGCCAGATTTTTTGGCAGATACCTCTGTGCTCTTGGATATGATTAATTTAACAGGCAATCTAATCTTAAATACTCGCAGTCAGATCATTTCTGGGTGGAAACAAGACAAGGACGGGGGGGCGACTCCTCTTCCTCTTTCCTCTCCCTAATGAAGAACGCGGGACGACGGCTCCTTTTGGAAGGTCTCCAAGGGAGCTCGGAGCTCGGCGAACTCGTCCCTCGTGTGTCCTGTCCCCCTCTTTCTTCTCTCCCCACCCCACCCGCCCCCTCAGCCAAAGTCCCTCGGCCCCCGAGACCGGCTCCTGCTGCAACTCATGGGAGAGCCCCGGCGGGCAGGAAGGGCTCCCACCTCCCCGGAGTAGCTGCCCCTGCGGGATCAATCCTAACGCGCTCTGAATTCCCCAATACGGAAAGCAAGCCCAGGAGAGTGCGGGCTTTTCGTGCTTCTTTTGTGATTGGAAACTCGGGTTCCTGGAGCAGGCGGGTTGGTGCGAGGAGAGCTTTCACCTCCCGGGCTTAGGTTAAGCATTTCTTTGCAGCTAACTTTACAGGGATGCTTTACTCACCTCGGGGTAGGGTGACAAAGGCAAAGCTTTTCTCAGACTCTCTCTCGCTTAGTGTTCCCTCTCAAATCACGGATAACCCCAAATAAACTTGGAGGACTCCCTAGAGATAATTCTTTGAAATGGACTTTGCATTCATTTCCCCGAGAATAGTAAATCCTCTTGCTGGCAGTCTAATTCACTAGCCTGACACTGTATTCTGTTACATGGCCTTGGGAAGGAGCAAAATAATAAAAGTCGTGGGTTGTTACCTTCTTAAAATTATTTTATTTTTCTTAATAAGTATTTATTATGGCGTTTTGTATTCTTCCCCTTTACTTGTTTTTGCTTTTTAGTGATTTCGCCATTTTATTCGCTATTTTATTTTTTCCTCAGTAGAGGTGAATTTTGCCCCATGCTTCCGCGTCGGAACACCGTGGCCCAGGCCACAGGCGTAGGACACTATCCCGAAGCTCAATTCCCTGATGCAGCGCGTATCTCTCTGCGGCCACCAAGCCTCACGCGCGACCACGCACAGGGGACACTTCTCAAATTGTCCCTCTTTCCCGAAGGAGGGGGGAGGGCTCCCCAAGTGCCCGTCGCCTGGAAAACGCGTTGTTAACAGGCAGGTGAGTGTCGAGATGCGAACGCGGCCCCGCGCAGACACTGAGCAGCGGCTTCGCAAGGGCGGCCGCGCTCCGCGCAGCCCCTTCCCCGCTCTCCCGCTAGGCAAGAGCGCCCCCAGCCCGCGGGCCGCGGAGCTCCGCGCAGCGCCGCCCGCCCGCAGCGGTCCTG